GCTTTCTACTTTCCCTCCATGCACTTCTCTTTGGAAAACTGTGTCTGTGCTGTTTGCCTATGAGACAAGTAGAGCAGACACCAAGTTCTCCAGTTAGCTGTGGAATCCCTTCAACCAGTCCCTTTTTCTGCAACTGCTTCAGCCCTCTCTCATGCAAGTGGCCAAACCTTCTATGCCACAAAGTCATACTGGTTTCTTTTGCTTCTTTTGTCTGCAAACAGTGCAATTCCTTATCTTTCTTTTCATTGTCATACTTGGCCTGCAAGACAAACATCCTATTACTCTTCATGGTTGTTTGCAGCAGGAAACCCTTGTCTCCATGAAAGATCTTGCAGATCCCATCCTTTATGAGAAAAGTCAGATTTCTTTCTTGAAGTTGTCCCACACTCAATAAATTTGTCTTGAGACCAGGTACATAAAAGACTCCCTGGATAGTCAGAGGTAATTGATCCACCAGCATCCTTACACTGCCTTTTCCTTCAACCTGCAGCTTGCATCCATTTCCTAATTTGACATTGCAGTCAAAATTAGTGTCCATTGATGTAAACCACTGCTTGTTCCCACTCATGTGGTTACTGCATCCAGAATCAAGGAACCAGCAATCAGTGGCCTGTTCCGTTTCTAGCAGAGCCATCAGGCTGTGATGATCAACTTCCTTCTCTTCTTTCTCTTCCACATAAGCCATTAGTAGCATATCATCCTTCATATCCATTCCAGACTTGTTGTGATAATGAGAGGGACACGAATTAGAGTAGTGAGCCTGCTGGTTGTACCAGTCAGGGCACTCATTTCTGTAGTGCCCCAACTTATGACACTTATAGCATTCCACCATGTCTCTATTCCATGATCTGCCTCCCCTACCTCTTCCTGGACTCATGTAACTTCCTCTGCCTCTTCCACCTCGACCCCCAAATCCATGAGTTACCTTCAGTGCTTGCTCATCTTCTGCAGAATGCCTTGTAAATTTCTTCTCATGAACCAGCAGAGAACTTTGCAGGGCATCAACAGTTAATTCCTCAATATCTTTGGATTCTTCGATTGAGCAAACAATGTAATTAAACTTTTCTGTTAAAGTTCTTAAAATCTTTTCCACAATCTTGCCATCAGTCATTGATTCTCCAAAATTCCTCATTGAATTGGCCACTACCATAACCCTACTGAAATAATCATTAACACTTTCACCTTCTTTCATTTCAAGAACCTCAAAGGTCCTTCTAAGCGCCTGAAGTTGAGACTTCTGCACCCTTGCATTGCCTTGACACTTAGTCTTCATTGAATCCCACAGATCCTTGGATGTTGCCTTGCGAGTGATGGTCTTCAGGATGCTCTTGTCAATGGAACTAAAAAGATAGTTCTTGGCTTTGAGATCCTTCAACCTGCTCTCCTCCAGGATCTTCTTCTCAGCAGCCGACAATTCTGCTTCTGCTGCCGGCTCACGAAAACCTTCATGAACAACCTGCCAATATTCCTTTGATCTTAACAGATTCTCCATAACCAAACTCCAATGGTCGTAATCCCCATCAAACTTAGGGATACAGACCTGAGCAAAGCCAATGTTTTCACTCATTTTGAAGCTCTCTCACCAAAAAAAAACAATCCTCACTGATACCCCTCGTGTTTCCCAAACCCAGGTAGCAAGAACTCTTTCTCACAATCTGAACTCTCTGGTTTGCTTTGGTTACAGTTCGCAAGCAGTGCTCTGATACCACAATGAGAAAGCAAATACTTTGTGCAAACTGACAATCTTATTGACACGATTATTCACAACTTAAGTACATGATTCCTGCCACTAATCTCGGCACTTAAGTATCATCCTTAACTCCACTACCCTGTAAAATAGCTAAGCCAACAACTAACTTCTGACTTTCAGCTAAACAGCCGACTTCAACTAGAGGAAAACATAACTTTGGTGACTAAAGAATAACTTTGCCACACGACAAAGTTTTGACATAACCAACATGGATTTGATTCACAGCACCAACATGGACTTTGCAAGTATGACGTAAAATGATAAGCCATGGAATTAAGAAGTCGTCTTTTCAAGGTGAGTGTAAAGCTGGTAAATTCTACGCCTTACGTATTCTTTCAAGTATTAGAGTTTTCAGTATTTTTGTGAAGTGTTGCTATGGTTGTTTATGCTCATGATTGATGATATGTGCTTGTTTGAGCTATGTTTGATGTGAATGTGCATGAGTTATTATTTAATTTAAAGCTTTACGTTTATAAGTTATTGTTAAAGTTAAGAAACAAGTTCTTTTTAAGAAGTAACTCACCTTCAAGAAGGTGAAGTCGTTTTAAGTGTTTTTAGTCACTAGCGCCAGTCCGTTGCCTTTTGAGACATTTTGAGATAGAGCAGCAGTTATGCTCTGGAGACTTTTAAGATGAGCAGCAGTTATGCTCTTGAGAATTGTTGTGAAGAGACACCACGATAAGTTTAAGATGTTAAGGGGATGAATCGTTACGACTTCCCTAACTAAGTTTAAGTTTAAGGAAAGCCTGGATGGCTTCTCATACGTATGAGTTGGCAACCGGACTAGCTAGTGAGTGATCCCGGTGTCAGTCAAGTATTTAAGTAAAGATTTGAGCTCTAAGAGGGGAGAGTAACTTCAAATCCCTCAAAGTCTAAGAGTTAAGATTTTAAGATTGGAAGTACAAACAATTTCCACTACTCAAAGTTAAGTGTTTAAGTAAAGTATTCATGTATTAGAAGTATTAAAACGTAAGGGCGTAGACTCACCCCATCTCACGCACCAGTTTGAAGAGCTAGAGGAGCAATTAGTGGGCAGCGAGTTCGAGGCCAGCCAGCTAGAGGAGAGCAGTATAAGCATCATGGAGGATGCTTAGTCAAGGTTTTCAGTAGCAGCAACATTTGGGATTAGTAGTTATTTACATTTATGATTATGAGTATAGACTGGAGATCATTTTGAGATTTTAAGCGTTGAATTTGCCCATGTGTTAGGGCGTTGCTTTGAACTACAAGTGCGTGGTTTCAAAAAAAATTATATAAATTTTTCCCGCTTTTATTTGTCAAGGGCATTTTTAGTAAAAGTAGTACCCGACCGGGTTAGGGTGTTACATTTTGGTATCAGAGGGTGGCTTTGCCCCTAACATTCAGGAAAACAAGGAAGGAGGAACGTTGAAAAGGGTTGTGGAGGTAGAATCAAATGTGCGAGGACTTCAACTCCAAACACCAGCAAGGAGGTGCACAATTGAAAGGGAATACCTCAAGGATTTTGAAGGAGTTGAGAGAGTAGTACGAGGATTTAACTACTAGGAAACATGTGGATGATCTAATAAGCTAAGACAAACAAAGGGGAGAAATATGAATCTCCAAAGGAAGAGGAACAATCCCTAGATGCCAGTAGCTATGATAATAGGATGATGTTAGGGTCTTTGGTCCTAAGCAGTGGAAAGTGGGCAACGGGTCAAGAAATAAAGAGGTACCACGAGAAGTCCCTCAACTAGTTTTAGTGGTCAACGCTATTACAACACAGTGACAAGGAGCAGTGGAAAGCTTAAACTTCAAGAGAAGCTAGTGTAGTATAAATGAAGCAAAGGAGGAAGTAAGTAGGTTAGAGGGGGTCTGAAGGGACTCAAAAGTCAATAGTTTAAGAAGGAGAGGAGGCATGGTCGGTTACATATGACGATGAAGGAACCCTTATAGATAAACCACGTAACTGGAGAAGAGGGTACATAACCCTGGGGAGTTAGGCCGGTATCAAGCTTTTGAAATGAACAAGACAAGAGTCAAGATGATCGAGGTAGAGGAAGAGCTTGGATCAAAAATAACAATGTGCTAGTGAACAATGTTGAGCTAGAAAGAGGATGGATTGGGATATGAGAGATTCTACAAACTACCCAGATCACAAAAGGTCAGGAGGATGTTGGTACCGTTGAAAGGGGAATGCAAGAGTTCACGATGATCGGTTTTGGGATTGTCCTTTCCTAATTAGAGGAAGCACATGGAAGTTCCGATGAAGGATTGAGAATATGTGTAGGTGACTCGGGTCCAAGAAAATGTGTAGTGGAGTACGACGAGGAAAAGCGTTGCATTACCAGGAAGGAGGAAAGCATTAAGTTACCTTACCCAAAGTGCCCCAGTCTAAGTGGGAGCGGCATAGTAGGATGTCATCCAAAGGAAGCGGCTGGTTAAGGATAAGTAAGACATGTTCAGTTAAGCCACTAAGAACCCAGAATAAGAGATCAAAGCTAGTACCAAGCATCGATGAAGGAGTGGATATATGTAGGTAGATGCCTAGATGAGAGCATATTAAACTGTTGAAAGTGTTGTAGCTCTATACTAATGGTGATTGATGAGTTGTTTGATGCATAGTTGAGACTAGAGAGGGTGGATGTATATAGATAGATGCCTAGTTGGGAACATATTAAATGGCATCAACGCAGACTAAGGTAGCTATCCGTACTTTGGTCAAATTGACGGGACTGTGCATCTAGGCATGGTTTTGGGTCTTGGCGATTTGTTCTGATTCGACCTGAAGCTGTTTCTTTTAGCTTTCAGAGTCAGATTTGAGAAGTAAAGAGACTTGGTCTCTGAAAGCTTGTGTTTCCATTCGTCCTTAAATCCCTGTTAAACCTTCTTTCCTCAAATCTGGTTTGTCTTCAGTGTTGATCCATAAATAAACTAAAGCAACACATGTACCTTGTGTTTCATACAATTTGTTGTTTGCGTTGCTTCTGATAGGGGTTTTTTCTTTTCCTTACTGTAGCTCCCTGCACTTTTCACGCCAGGAAAGAATGATTTAAGTATTTCAGTTTTGTATATCACAATTGTGAAGACTAGGAAACTTAATAAAATAAGGGATTTTGATTCCCACCCACGAGTTTAATAAGAAGTATTTACCTTCTAGGAAGCTTATTAGCTTATTTAATTTTAATTCTAATAAATACAAATCACAACAAAAAGATTTTGTAACAGTCCCCTTCCTTCATCAGAACTCTAAACACGTTTCTCCTATATAAGCTACTCATCCGAGTGGAATAATCTTTGTATTTACTGGAAGAAAACAAACGAAGGAAGATCGGTGTCATGGAAGGGTTAGTTTGAGTTGTTTCTCGATGCCTTTGTTTCTGAGTCTTATGCCCTCTGCTGAAGCTTCATTTTGTTAATGTTGTTTTCAGGTTAGACAAGTCAGTGGCCGAATCAAATGAGCTAAAGTTTCGAAATTGGTACAGTGTCCAGCATTCCTTTATTTTGTTATTTTTATTTGGGGTACCTAAATTCCTGGGTTTTTGTTTTGCAGATCAGGAGCCTGCATTCGTTTATGACTGACTTGGAAAAAGGTCAGCTATCTATGAAATGGGAGTTGAAGGATGTTATTAACGAGTTGAGGACAACAGTGCAGTCGTTTAGGGACCTGTTGATTGGGAGGTTTGGTGGGAACTCTGAAATTGGCAGAAAAGTGAAGAATGACGATAAAGTCAAAGTTGTGAACTTAAGCTTGGATAGCTCGTTTTCCTTGGCAACAAGGAGTAAACATGAGACGAAAAGCACAGTCAGCAGGAGAAAGGTACCCCTAGTCACACTTTTGTTTTTTGTGTTTATGTGATATCAGTGTTTTAATACATATGTTAAATGATAGGGGAAAGCGGTTAGAAAGTCTCCAATTAGGTTGCGGAGTCCTATTTGGACCCGGAAAGATCCCGAGAGGACTAATGCCAAAATAAAGGTGATCGGCCCCTTCATCACTACAAAGTCCCTATCAAAAAGGGATCAGTGGTTGATCAGCCACGTTTTTTATCCATTCAAGGATGAAAGGTATTAAAAAAATTGTGTTACATTGTTATTAATTGAGCATAATTCATTTTCTGCAAGTTAAAAGCACTCAAAAATGATTTGTATTGTCTGTTGTTGGTTGTAGTGAGAGGCTGCTTAGATCTCCATGGTTTCATCTAACCCGTGGAGAGTTTAAGGTATTAGTGCCGGAAATACCATTGTCTACTCAGGTTCGTATACAACTTAGCTTGATTCTTGAATTTATAAATGGCTTAGTAAAGGAGCAAAGTTGTGTAACATGATATGTGTTTTGACACTGTTTATTTGTGTAGGTGATAACTATGTGCGTTGACTTGTTAACGGTGCCGGAGTTGGAAAATGAAAAACCTATGAATTGGTTCTTACCACCGGCATTTGCTGTAAGTTCATAAGTTGTATTTGGTATTATTTTGCATATCTTTAAAAGTAGTAATTGGATATATTTCAAACTCTACTGTATGCTAAAAGTTATTTTTGGTTATAAGAGTCTTCATTATGAATGATTGTATAGGGTTGTTAAAATCTGTTGAACTTTAGGCCATAATTTTTGTGTTGTTATTAGAAAATCTCGGCTAGTCACTTAAATTTGTTGTCTGTCATTACAAAAACTTGAACTTTAGGCCATAATTTTTGTGCTTTTTTTTCAGTGTGAATTTCTTGTCATGAGTGGAACCTGAAACTGGAATCAGATATGTTATCATTCTTGTGATGAATTATGGATTGAAAAGTTCTAGCGCCACCCAATCCTAGATGTGTTGCCCATTTTTCTTGAAATTCCAGAAACCAAATTTTTAGGTTTCCTTTTAAAAGTTGTATGGCTGCTTCTGTGCAATAAACTCATACCACACTAGTGTATTTTCAGCACTTCTGTTCGAGAGGTGACATTGACATTATGAACCTGACTGGTTAGCACTTAAAAATTGGAACCTTATCTAGGTATCCATAAAAAGTGAATCGATCGTGTAACTATTACGATTTAATACGACTATACTTGTAGGTGGCCTATGCAACTGGAGATCGCGTTTTTGCTTACCCTGAGAAAAGAATTAAAACAGTGTACTGCTCTGGGGACTTCAATGATTGTGAGAAGGTAACTATTGCAAATGCTGGAACCTCTAAGAATTCCGTGATGGATAGAATTTTTTGTTGAGGTTTAAGTAATGTGTGTACATGTCAAATTTGTGTCCCCGTGCTGCTGGGTAGCCACTTCTTTCTTTGTGTTTTTGACCTTAAGAAAGAGGCGATTGATATATGGGACTCACTTCCTAACTGTGTTGATCCAATTCAGAGGGGAGAAAAAGTGTCACTGATTGTAAGTCATGTTGGGCATCTAAAAGGCTATGTTATCTATTCAATTTATATATATGCTGACATATTATGTACTTGCTGTAGGCAAAGGAACTCGACTCGATCTTATTGGAAGCAGTCTTGAGGAGATTCGAAGCCAAGATGTTTTGCACTTTCACCATCGTAGAGGTGGTTAATGCCCCGCGGCAAGAGAATGGGTATGTTTATCTGTCTGGTTTCACATTACTTGGTTGGTTTGTAATAAGCTATTTGATTTCATTTTCGGTTTAAATGTTTTTGTGGCAGGTTCGACTGTGGGTTGTTTGTGTTGAAGTTGATGACATGTGGGGGACATTTGGATGAGTGTGCCCGGGGACTGAAGAAGAAGGTGGTTTATTCCCTTATCTTGTTATTATTGTTATTGAAGTGTTTTTCGTCATTTTCTGATGGCTTCTTCATTTACATTTTTCAGTTTGACAGTGAAGAGGAGAGGCTTGGTCTAGCTCTGTACTTGTTGAACAATATGGAGAATACGGAGCGTGATGCTCTCCATCAGAAGGTACTCATGGAAAGTGTTAGTGGAGGTGATTCTGTGGAGGGCGGTGTGGAATGGAGTGGGAATCCTGAATAATTAGGGAATGGCAAGACACTAAGATTTTGATGTATTTTTTTTCCCCAAACAATCAAAGAACTAGAGCAGTTTCTGCTAGGTGTTTTTGTTTTTGTCACATTTTGCTTTTGTTCCTAAACGATCGTTACTGCATTGGAATTTCCAAATTTGATTTTTGTTTGCTCGTAGAATCGTTGTGTTGTATTTGTGCTTGTTATCGTTGTTTGTAGCTACGATGGCAGCAGTTCTCCATGGTTTATGGGTATGTTGTCCAACTAGAGATCGACTTCAAGGAGTATTTGAGCAATAAAAGAAAAGCATTCTGCTTTCAGAAAGAAGCATTGTACGATTGTACATCATATTAGTTTGCTTTTGGATCTAGTCAAACCATCTAGCTATACATAGACTCTATTCTTACTCGGATCATAAAATTTGTATCATACCGTTTATTTTAGACTACACTCTAGTAGTTGGATTGCCTTGTCACACCTCACAATCACATAGAAAGCAATTTCTCAATATGCGCTGACTCATACCAGAAGTTGAAATCCACCACTCCCAGAAGACACAACCAAGTTGTACACTTACAGAAGTTGGAAGCAAAGAAAGGATTCCCACTTCCAACTCCAAAGCATTTTCAATGGAAAACACACTGCTAGACAGCCTCGATGAAGAACCATTTCAAGGGATGATTCGAACAAGAGCCTCCAGAATGTGGGATGCAATCAACATCAAATCCAAATCACTCTTTTTGACTCTTCAAAGGGGTGCACTGTTGGGGAGACAAAGTATTGATGTTGCTGTACAGTAAATAGCCCAACATCACATTATGCAACGATAATGATTTCAGTATCTGGCTTGCTTTATTATCATACACACACTAGATATGGGTCTGCTTCTAATCCTACTGTATCACACGGTAGAGATCACAAACAACCCATTTACAATCTCAGCGTCAGCAGTTACGACTACAAAGCTACGCCTAGTCCGAAAATTCGAAGAAAAAGCATCACTTTTTCTGGAAATGAGTGATTGTAGTCGTGGTAGCGAAAGTTGCATACACGAAATGAGCCAGCCACTTGGAAGCCGCATAAGACAACACATCCAATATCGCCAGCCCAATTCTTGTGGCAGTTGAGATCATCCCTTGCTTTGTTGCTGCAACAACGCCAATTATGGCAATAGCAAGCACCTTGAGAATGATCTCAGCAGCATTCAGACACTTGTATGCACGGTTGCAGCTGGTGCAGTTCACCACATGCGTCCAGTACCTATCCATAAGTTGCTATCGCGGAGGAGTTGGAGGAAGATCGCCCGTATGCTTGCCTCTCCAGTCGACTTCACTATCCGCATACTTGTTCAACCATCGTCTTAAGCCAACAACCAGACCATCGAACTTGGCAGGAAACTTGAGTAGCTTCACAAATCAAAAAGAAAATGAAATCAAGTGACAAATGAAGTACTGGCTTGTCAGTAATCAAAATCTATCCTTTAATGGCTGTGTTGGTACCAGCCCATAATGTGCATAGGGAAGATGAGCATGATCTGCAAGATTCTCTATCAATACATCATGCCTAAACCAATATGCGCAAAAGGGAAGTTATTAATTTCGAAACCAGTGCAACGATTTTCATCGATATTATTTTCAATAAGAGTTCCAGAGCAATGAGCTTTTTTTTTACCCATAAGGGACATCTCGGTTTCCTATTATCTTAGTGAATGATGGATCACCCAGCTGTGGAATGAAAGGAGGCTTCTTTTTCCCAAAGATGTCTCTGTATTGAGGATCAGAGTTGGGCCAAAACCACACGATGTCATGATGCACTATTGTTGGATAAACTGCAACACAAGCCCTTTTACTTGTGTGAACCAGCAATTTTATGTCCCCAAGTTCATCCCTACATTAAGAATCGGTGTCCATAATGATAGAAAGAAGCGATCATGGAACAGGAACTATATGATCACAATAAGCAACTACTACTTACTGGAGGGCCATCAGGAGGTGCTTGAGGGATGAGGTTGCAGTCGCCGGAGCCATCAAAACACCAACCGTGATAAACGCATTGCAGCCTTCCCGACGGATCAATCCTCCCTTCAGACAATGGACCCACACGGTGAGGACACATATCGTCAAAAACCTTCCATGCATTATCGTTCCTGTCTCACCACACCACCTCGTCCATCCCCAACACCTTCTTCGCATGTGAGGTTTTAAATTTGCTAGGGTGGAAAGGTGGCCTTGCTGGTAATATCACGTTAAGTTTTTTCTCACACAGGCTACGGTTGTAGCATTTCTCAGCTCCCTACAATTAGAGTAACCAAGCAAAATAGGCTGACTTCACATTGGCCCAAACCACAAGACAAGACTAAGATCTTACAGTTGAGATTTCTTTTTTTTTTCTTTTGCTGCAAACCACCCGTCAGGTCCGATACTGGAAGTTCTGCCTCCTCATATTTGCAAAATAAAAAGTAGCAAATCTGTTGAAGAGCAATTGTTTTACCCGTTATCATAGTTCATAAAAATAACAAAAACTTCCGCACGCTGGAAATAAGGAAAAAAACAGTATATTCCCAAATAGTACCGTTATCATCTCAGCAAATAAATGGAACTGCATCCTTGAAAAAAAAATTAAACAAAAATACGGATTTGAATTGTGAGGAACACGTATGCAGAGAGAAAATTGGAGGAGTTGATTTAGGTTAGCGTCTCCTTCACGAAGTCCCTCACGATCAGTTGCTTCTATTCGTGTACGCACAGAATATTGGAACTGGCTAACTGGTTTCTTCTACACAGCATCTGCGCAACTCAACACAGCTGCCCACATGGAAAAGGATGGGAATCACCCTAGCACAAGTGTTGGTTTCAATAGTGAGAGAGAAGCGGATCGAACCGCAGAGGCAGAGGCTGCCGATCAACCGTAGCATAATGCTGATTTGAATGCCGAGAGAGAAGGGAATAGAAATCCGCCAATTGATACCAACATTTTGGAGTCAGAAACCCCTTAGAGTGGAGATGAAGAGGAGACTGAAGTTGCATCCAAAATTCAGCATGACGAAGTCCCTTTGAACGGAGAAGAAGAGGAGATGGAAATTTTGGCCAACCTTAAGGCAGAGGATGTCATCGGTCGGAAATTCAATAACATTGACGACGCTTACAATTTCTATAACAAGTATGCAAGAGCTTGGGGCTTCTCTGTGAGAATTGAGAGGAAAACTGAAACCAAAAAGGGGGAAATAACTTCTCGGAAGTTTGTTTGTTCAGCTGCGGGAACAAAAAGCAAACGGAAAAAGGAGCTTACGAAAGCTGCGCGCTTGAATACTCGATTTCATTGTCAAGCTTTTATGCGTGTTCGCTTGGACAGGTATGACAAGTTCTTTCCATTCACAATTTGATAGAGCAAACTAAATTTACGATTATGATTGTGACAATGTAGTATTCTGACATGCATACTCATAGTTACTACTGATTGAACTAATGTTTGTTGGCTTGGGCAGGTTAGATTCTAAATATGCTATAGTTGCTTTTAATGTAACCCACACCCACGATCCCGTTCGTCCACAATTGGTGCATCATATGAGATCGCATAGAGGTTTAGATGAAGCAACAAAAGCTGAAGTTCGATTCCAACGAGATGCGGGCATGAAAATTGCCGACATCATGAATCAGCATGTTCAAAAAGCTGGCGACTATGACAAAGTAGGTCATACGAAAAAGGATTTGCATAATTTTGCATCCAAAGATCGAGAAGATAGGATTAGTGAAGGCGATGCAGCTACTGCACTAGCTTATCTAAAGTCAAAAATGAGCGTAGACAATCACTTCATCCTCGAACCCACTTTCGATGAAGATAAGAGGCTTTGTAGTGTTTTCTGGGCGGACAGCATAAGCATAGCCGATATGTCATGCTTTGGAGATTTGCTAGCTTTTGACACCACATATAAGAAAAACATTTACAACATGCCACTAGTTGTTTTCTCAGGTGCTCAACTTTTACCTTGTCAAAGTCCTTCCATCACTCCACATTGGTATGCAACTCTATCTTCTATTTAACTATACATGACTTTTGTATCATTTTTAGGTATCAATCACCATCGCAAGAGCTGTATATTTGGATGTGCTTTATTGGCTAACGAGATAGAAAAGAGCTATGATTGGGTTCTGGGGAAGTTGAAGAAAGCAATGGGAGACAAAGAAACTCGTACGATTGTAACAGATGGTGACAAAGCGATGAGAAATGCCATACAAAAAGTGTTTCCTGCTGCAACTCATCGATTATGTTCATGGCATATCGCCAAGAACATTCTGAGTCGTCTGAAGAACAATAAAGCATTTGAACCTGAATGGAAGAAGTTTGTATATGCTGATCTTGAAGCGGCTGAATTCGAAGAAAAATGGGTGGAATTGGTCTCGAGTCACAAACTGGAAAATTGTCAATGGGTTTCGGATTTATTTGACAGACGAAGGGAATGGGCATACACATACCTCTGATCTTACTTCTTTGCAGGGTTGTCAACAACCTCTAGATGTGAAGGAATCAACTCACATCTTGGAAGGTATGTAACCGAGAACCACAATTTGCTTGAGTTTTTTATCCATTTTGATCGATGGATTGGAGAGTTGAGAGAAAATGAGGTCAAATTGGATTTTCAATCTAACCATGTTGTCCCGGAAATGAAACATCCGGCATTGCGCACACTTAAAGAAAGCGGTGCAAAGATATTCACTAACAAGATATTCCGCAAGTTTCAAAAGGAACTAGGATTGGTGGAGGGTTGTATCAAGAGTAATCATGTGGTAGATGGAAGTGTGCACAATTATGAGGTAAGGTTGTTTGGGAAACAGAAGAAGTTCACTGTCAGATATGATGTTGAAACCAAGGAAATGGAGTGCAGTTGTGCTAAACTTGCATACATGGGAATCCCATGTTCCCATTTTCTCTATTTATTGAAAGAAGAGAACATACCAACGATTCCAGAAGAGTTGGTATTAAAAAAATGGAGCAAGAATCCTAAGACTATAGAACTTACGCAACAACCACTGGATATCAATGACCCTTGGCCATTTAACGTTAGGTATGGGCTGCTGCAATTTTCAGCATCGCGGTTTTGCTTCCTAGGGGCAAATACAGTGGATACTTTTCAGTTTGCAAAAAAGTTAATGGCAACTGTGTGTGACCAGTTGAACAGCATGCAAACTGGTACTACTGAGAGGTCGACAATAGAGATACCAGAAGAATACAAAGCTGTAAAAAACCCAATGAAGGTAGCATATAAAGGTGGTAAAACTGGAAAACGGAAGAAGTCGGACAAGAAGCATCGGAAGTG